ATAAATAAATAAACAAATAAATAAATAAAATTTTCCAGTTGGTAGAAGGTCATATAATAATTAATGAAACAGGGTTATTAAATGTTTACAGAAAGCTTGCACAATTTGTGGCTTCTAGTCCCGTTAATCCTCTGTTGTACACTTTTAAAGGCTGATAGGATTTGTACATGGTCAGAGGAATTGTAAGTGACTAGATCATGAAAGAGAACCTATGGCCCTCCAGATATTTTTGAACTATAACTCTTATAGTTCCAAAGGTGAAGACTACTGATAGTTCAGCAGCATCTGGTAGGCTATAAATTCTTCCATTACTGCACTAGATGGGTTGCACATTGTCCAGGTCAGTTATGTATCCTATTGGCAGGATTATTCATATGTGTTTCTCCAGAATTTCAAATTGTAAAAATTGAAACTCTGAAGTTGAAGTATACAAACTAAATTTGTTCTTAATTACATTTTTAGAATCACATAAATATTGGCTTGATTTTGAGTAACAAAACTTATGTTTTGTGTTATGTCATCCAAATGATAATGTGAGTGAAGAGCCGTTTGTAAGTATACTCCTGCACTGAGTATTACAAATTTTGAAAATTCACAGCTCTTATTCAGATGTTACCAAGGTTCTAGAATTACTTTTCCTTCCTCTGCTGTATCCTTCACTGTGGCTTGGATTCAGACAGGTGCTTTGTGCATAAGAGTTTAGGTGTGTAGATGCTATTTTCCCACATCCAGACTACAAAATCTTATTGCTGACTTTTTAAAAAATAAGAATGTACATCTGACCTTTGACTCAAAATTCTAGTGGTGCTTTATAAAAATTTCATACTGTATAGCAAGAGGGAGAACTATATTAAAAGTAATATGAAAGCATACCACACACAAAGACAAAACAGATCAAACTGAATTTACAAGGTGCAATGAAATAAAAGGTTATTTACCCAGAGGACAGCATTCCACATTAGAATACCATTAAGAAGGCTCTTTTTAACTATATTTCTCTAAGATGAAAACTATGTGGATAGACAATCTTTAGATAACTTGGTTCCAAAATGTTGAAAATACTGTTCACCTGGCCAGATGTCGCTATCTGTCTTGTATGGGATAAACACAAGTTTATTGGCCCTTATTCAGTCTAATACTGTGTGTTCAAACAGTATTTAAAACATTTGCACTTGCTTTGATTATATAAAAAAAGATAAATGGAGGTAGATAATGTCTATATAGTAATGGCATTCTAACCTTTTCAGTAACAATGTGTGGAGGACTGTCATGCGTTGGCAAGAAGGCAATTCTTTTATTAACCAGGAGCACTTATTTAAATAGACAATCCAACCCATTAACTTTCAAGTTCACATAACTGAGACACTACTTTCTCTTTTTGCTATATGTCAGTCTGCAAATCTGAATGAAATGAAAATTCTAATATTGCAGAAATGTAATACATGGAATGCTGTCTGTATAAGACAAGCTTTTTTACACATAATTTAAACATAAAGTATAACATAGTAAAAACATAGTTTTTAGTTTAACTTGCTATGCCCTTATCTATTACTTCCTTCATGTTCAGCAGGAAAGTACACGCAATCACAAGAAGATAATCCTGATTTTTTCCCTTCTTTTGGCAGTTTGCAATCTGTTGGCTAACATCAGAGAACAAGGGTAGGTTGTAGTTGTACAGCTATCTAGCTTCTTAACAATTACATGCTTGGAGATTAAAATTAAAATTTAAAAAAAAATCTGACTGCATAAAAAAAAAAAAGAATGGGATTCACCCTGCTTTTTAAATTGGCATTTATGTGACTGTCATCCCAGCAGTCCATGGCCCCAAAAGGCCCCTACAAAAGAGATCAGCCTGCAGTTTTTAGACTTGGATGGGTTAGAGGTTCTAAGGTGTAAATGGATACTTTAAGTCTAGTAAAGACTTAAAACATCACTTGAAACACAAAAGATCCTAAATGTCCCCCAAAATTTCCTAGTTGTAAGGGTGTTAAAAGGTAACATGGAAGATTTATTTTGCAGCTTAGTCCATCCCAAAATCACGGAGCAATCTGACCGGAAATGTTGGCCCCCACCCACTCCAGTAACATGTCACCAGTCATGTCCCTTACAACCCCTCAGACAAGGCACAAAAAGAAAAAAAATGCAGTCACCTGGCTAGAAATGGTTGCCTCTGCCCATCTGCTCATTAAAAGTACCTACTAGCATCACAAGAACTGCTTTATTGAGAATCCCTCTGAGTGGGGGTAGAGTGGGAAAAGAAATAGGTATTGGTACCTTTGTCTCTGTAGATCTCTTAAGACAGTCTTGTGCACTACAGAAGTTACTACATACTACCCACTACTATATAGTGGATTGGTAGGTAAGATATATTTTTATATCTTATTTATATCATCATATTTTTATTATATATAATTCTTCAATAATGGCTCATTCCACTGCATTTCTGTGTGCTCACTATAGAAGAGGGAACATAATTTGAAATCAACTTTATTTCTGTATTGGGTAGAGAGGGTTGAAGTGCTCAAATCTTTCCTCTAGCAAAATGTTCATGTGACACATATTCAATTAATATCCCTGATTATCACGCAAAATCTTAAATGCAAGGCTGTGCTAGATACACATACAGTCGTGTGAAAAAGAAAGTACACCCCCTTTGAGTTCTATGGTTTTACGTATCAGGACATAATAAAAATCATCTGGTCCTTAGCAATTCTCAGAAGGAGGTAAATACAACCTTAGATGAACAACAACACATAATATATTACACTATGTCATCATTTATTTTACAAAAAGAAAGCAAAAATGGAGAAGTCATGTGTGAAAAACACCTTATGATTCAATAGCTTGTAAAACCACCTTTAGCAGCAATAACTTGAAATAATCCTTTTCTGTATGACTTTATCAGTCTCTCACATCGTTGTGGAGGAATTTTGGCCCACTCTTCT